GCAGAGCCTGAGGCTGGGACCCCTGAGTGTCCTCTCACCTGTCACCACCAGCTCCAGGGGGTCACTGCGCTCTGACCAGCCAGCAGGGCTGTGATAGTAACAGTGATATCTCCCAGCATCATGCTCTGTCATGTGTGTGATGGAGAACTTGGCCTTGTCCCCGGGCTCCAGTTGCTTCTCTATTTTCCATGGTTGTGGGCTTCCCTCTTTATCCAGATCCAGACGGTACTCCTCAGCCCCTGGGATCCCCTGACACCAGATGGTCACGGGGCTCCCCCAGGGGATCACAGGGCCTGGCTCAGCCCAGAGGGTGGGTTTTGGGAGGGGCCCTGGAAGGAAACCAGCTCTCAGCCCAGGACCTTCCCAGGTGTTACCAGTCTGTTAGCTGAGAACACTGTTCTTCACCAGCTGCCTGGGGGGTGGACCTTGTCTACAGTGGGGAGTGGGACCTGGGACTCCTGGGGAGACTCACCTGCCTGCACTGGGGTCCTGAGGCCCACACTCAGCCCTGGAAGAGAGTCCCTGTGAGAGATTTGCCCTGAACCGTGAGCAGCACCCTCCTCCCCATGAGCCTCCTGAGTCCTGGGGTCCTGACAGACCAGGGCTCCCCTCCCCCTCCCATCTCACCGAGGCAGAGCAGGGCCCTGAGGGTGGCGGTCATGGCGTCTCCTCTCTTTACACCTGGCTGTGTAGATGCAGGAGGCCACAGTGTCCTATGAACAGACAGACACACAGGGTGGGGCCGCTGGGAGGCTGGCCCTCGCTGTCACGGGGCTCTCACCTCAGCAGCCCCACAGAAAGGAGAACATTCACTTCCCACAGGCCCGAATCTGGTTTCCATGGTGAAGCAGGAAATACACTGGAGCCTCCTGAGACGCCTTTTGCAGGTGAGGTGACCCAGGGCACCTTCTTCCTTGTGAGAGCCTCTCCCACGGGGTCTCCTTCCTCTCAGCCTGTCCATCAGAGCCTCCCTGGGGTCCTCACCATGGACAGTGCCACTCGGACCCTGTAGTTGCTTAAGGAAGACGTGGGTCCCTGTGGCCTGCAGAGCTCAGATCAGCAGGGACATGCTCACCTGTTACTGTGCAGCTCAGGGCGATGTCCCTGTGACAATGAGCACAGAGGGAAATGCAGGGAAATAAGGGAAGGAAACACGTCACTTCTCCTGGCCCTGACTGTGGCTTTCTTTCTATCACAGCTGCTCTCGAGGACTTCACTTTTTTTTTCGTAGCCACAGCATCTACCTCCGCTTCTTGGGGACAAATTTCTGAGTTATTTTTCCTCCTCAGTGTCCCTTGCTTCCTGTGTTAAAGTCTCCTCTTCATCCTGTGGTCCAGCCTTCAAGCTTTAGGGCACATTGATTTGGGTTGGAGTTCTGATTTTGACTTAAATAAAATAAAATATTTATTAATTGTGTAATATATTTACTTATTTAGTTAGTTAGTTAGTTAGTTATTAGTATTATTTTTTTGCTGCCTACAAGAGACCCTTGAAGCTCTCATTAAGATCCTTGAGCAACCTTATAACCATTGTTTTAAACTCTGTATCTAGTAATTTGTTTGCTTTCAGATTCTTGAAATTCTCCTTAAGCCACTTGAAGCTCTCATTAAGATCCTTGAGCAACCTTATAACCATTGTTTTGAACTCTGTATCTAGTAGTTATTTTGCTTCCATTTCCTTTAGTTCCTTCTCTGGAGATTTCTTCCTTTTTTTCATTGGGGACATGTTTCTTTGTCTCTGCATTATGGCTGCTTCCCTGTGCTTGTTTCTATGTATTATGTAGAGCTGCTATGTGCCCTATAATTGGTAGGGTGGCCTTGCATAATAGGTGTCCTGTAGGACCCAGTGGCTCAGCCCCCAGTTACCTGAGCTCACTCTACAACATGCGCCCATGTGTGGGCTGTGTGCACTGTCTTGTAGTGGAGCCTTGGTTGCTATTGGCATCGCTGGAAGGAATTGACCTCCAGGCCAATTGGTTGTGAAGACCAATTGTGACTATAATGAAGAAGCTGCTCTTCAGGAGGCATTCCAAAGGATCAGGACTTGCTTCAGTGGGGCTTTGGTGCTCACTGAGTCCTGTCCCATTAGTGTGTCTCTGGTGGATGTGCAGAGTTGTAATCTGGTATTGTCTGAAGCTGTTCACTGGGAGCAGTGGCTCTGGGGCCTCCAGAGGGGTGTAAAGTCAGGCACTGCCTGGGACCCTTGACAGGAGCTACAGCATGATCTGTAGATGGCTGCTACTTGTGTTGGGCTTGGAAGTGCTCAGGAGAGGCAAAGCCGTGAAGTGAGGCAGGCTGCTGCCAGTGGCAAGCCTTGGGTTTCCTATTGAGTGTTACAGGGCACAGGGACACCAGCTGCTGCTTGTTTCAGAGATTTAAGAAAGTCCGAGTCCTGAGCCAGGACAGGCCATTCATAGGGAAAAGCTGCTGCAAACACCTTAGGTGGGGCTGCAAAAGGGGTGGGGTGGGGCTACCAGGAAAACAGTATTTTATGAAATGTTAAAGGGTCTTCTGGAATGAGAAGAAGAAGAAGAAGGAGAAGGAGAAGAAGAAGAAGAAGAAGAAGAAGAAGAAATAAATATGAGTGATAAAGTGGCAAAAATACATATCCATCAAAAATTGAATCGAGCCGAAACCGGTTTGGCTCAGTGGGTAGAGCGTCAGCCTGTGGACTGGGGGGGTCCCAGGTTCGATTCCAGTCAAGGACATGTACCTGGGTTGCGGGCACATCCCCTGTGGGAGATGTGCAGCAGGCGGCTGATCGATGTCTCTCTCTTATCGATGTTTCTAACTCTTTATCTCTCTCCCGTCCTCTCTGTAAAAAGATCAATATAATATTTTTTTTAAAAAAATTGAATCAAAAGATCAAAATAAAATAACAAACTGAATGAATACAAACTCATAGATTCAGAGAATAAATTTATTCTCACCAGATGAGAGGGGTGTTGGTGCTGGGTGAAAAAGGTGAGGGGATTAAGAAGTACAAATTATTGTTACAGAATAGTCAAGGGATGTACATATAGGAAATATAGTCAATAATATTCTAATATCTATGTATGGTTTCAAGATGGGTATAAGATTTATCAGGATGATCACTTTGAAAATTCTATAATGTCTAATCACCATGGTGTACACCTGAAACTAATATTGAATTGTGTGTCAACTGTAGTTGAAAAATAAAAAATGATTAAAAAACTTAAATTAAATGTCAAAAGCTACTTATCCAAAAACTATACTTAAATAAATGCTGGTAACAATGAAAATGTTTTAACTTATGACCAAACATTAAAAGATTAATGGCTGGCTCAAGGGTTAGATCAAAGAACAACTGCCAGCAAAACCAGATGTATGCAGCCATACACTCTTATCCCAAACAAAATCATTAAAGGGTATGTTGCATGAATAAAGAATGTGTTGTCATTATTCAATAAAATTAGCTGATTGCTATATAAATATTCAACAATATGATGCAATAGTGTGTACTAAAATTCATTTTCATTTTTAAAATACTATATTAAACAGACACTCATCACATGCCCTTGAAATAAATAAAGTCTGTACATAATTGGAGACTCAATTGAACATTTATAAGATAAATGAAATGAGTGAAAAAAATTTTTATAAGAGCAAATGCCTGGTCTAATATGTACAAATTATTAATCTTTCCCACAAGTGATATCAAAGCATTTCTTTGTGCACCTCATCTGGATAGGTTGGGAGTGTGGTCTTGTGTTTTCATGGAAACTGCCCCAACTTGGAGTAGAAACTATCCTCACACATCAACTAGAAGGGACTTAGGAGCACTGTGGGGCTATCAGTGTGG